CTTAACATATCTTTTTTAACTTCATTCCATGTCTTAACATAATTATTCTGAAATAACATACAGTTCATATTTGTCATAGTCAATATTTGTCATAGTCAATATTCAAGTTCTTCTCAATCTTGAAACCCATTTTATTCATCAGTTCTGTTTGATCTTGTATTTTTATATTTTTTGTTAATGTCTTGTCTTCTGTTTTTTAATTTTAAAACCTGCTAATAAACCAAATTCTTTTAATTTACCCATTAATAATTCAATTCCCTTTAAAGGATCTTTCAAAGCCAACACCAAATCATCTGCAAAAGTTCTTATAAGTCTATTTTTTAATCTTTACACCCACAATCATCTCATCTTGTCTTATATCTCTATTCAATTTTTCAAGAACTAAAATAAACAAGAGAGAGGACAATGGGCAGCCTTGTCTTGTTCCTTTTTGTATCACATAGTTTAGTTAAATCTCCATTAACAATTATTTGTGCTGTCTGTGAAGTATAAATCAATTTCACCCATTTTATAAAATTCTCTCCAAAATCCCTATCTTCCAAAACTTTAAACAGAAAAGTCCAGTTCAAGTTGTCAAAAGCCTTCTCTGCATCTTAAAAAGATCGATTGTTTTTTCATTGTGTTGTTCCAAATATTCCAAAATGTCCAACGCATTTCTAACATTATCCTTCAACTGTCTTTTAGGTAAAAACCCACATTGATCCCCATGAATAAATTCTTGCAAAATTATTTTCAGTCTTTCAGCTACAATCATTTTAAACATAATTGTTCAATAATGATATTGGTCTGTAATTTCTTGTCAAAGTCAAATCTTGTCTTTCTTTAGGTATTAATGCTATATTAGCTTCTTTGCAAGTCTCTGGCATTTTTCTTCCCTGTAGAATATAATACACTGTATTTTGTAAAGGTTGTAAAAGTTTGTCCTCAAAGCACTTACAATACAAACTTGTTAATCCATCAGGTCCAGCAACCTTTCCTGGTTTGCTCTCTTTAATATTTTCCAAAACTTCCCTTATTGTTATAGGTCTATTCATAATTTGTCTTTGTTCTTCTGTAATTCTTGGTGAATTTTGTTTTCTAAGATATTCATCTATTTTCTCCAATGGAATATCATGTGCTTTATATAAATTAGAGTAATACTGATGAAATGTTTTTTGTATTGCCACATTGTCCATTCATGCAGTATCTCCCTCTTGTAATTTCAATATCATTTGAAACAGAGCCGGGTCTTCAGAGACTTACAGAATATTTTGAAGGGTGGGAATCATATGAATCTCCAAGGTGGGGGGCAGATGCTGTTCCAGAGGACAGGCACCACACACAGAACACACACTTCCTTGACCCTAAAAGATGGTAACATTTAACTGGGAGTGTAACCACTCTGCCCAATTGTACCAAATATGCAGAAACAATTGGAGACAGGCACTCCTTCAGATAACCAAGCCATATGCCATGAACGGCTTTATAAGTAAAAACCAGCACCTTGAATTTCACCAGAAGCTGAATGGTAACTGATGCAACTCGTGAAGCAGCAATGATGTGTGAGAGAACTAACTGCCCATTACTGTCTGCACTGCTGTTTTTTGAATCAGCTGTAGCTTCTGGATGGTCTTCAGATGTGCCCCATGGACAACACATTGCAACAATCCAGTTGTGAGGTGACTAGAAAACAAGGGACTATCTAAGGGCCTCCCAGTTGAGGAAAGAGCACAGCTGGTGTACAAGATGAAGCTGTGCAAAGGCCCTCCTATCCAGAACTGCCACTTGCTCTGTGAGCAACAGCTGTGAGTCCAGGAGAACCCCCAAGTTGCACACTAGTCTCAAATGGGGAAGTGCACCCCATCCAGGGCCAGAGGTGGAAACATCCCAGAGCCAGGGGCCCCAAACAGCCACAGCCACTCAAGTCTTGTCAGGATTGGGCTTGAGTCTTTCTTCCCCATCTAGGCCTGAACAGCCTCCAGATGCTGACAACTCCACCTGTGCAGCCTGGGGCTGAGATGTACAGATCATCAGTACTGATGATGCCAGGCCCTGAATTGGCAGATGACTTCACCCGGCGGTTTCATATCAAAATGAGCTAATTACCAGCCAGCAACTTTAATGATTGGAAGACTTCTGTGTTTATGAAATGGGTTGCAACCTTTGTAAGAGATTTAGCTAGCTTCAGATGTTCAGATTACTTCTTTTGGTTGTTATTCAATAAAGGGCCACATACATTTTTCTCTAGGGTGGCAGAGCTCACCTGAAAATATCCTCATTATATGTAAAAGAAATATACTGCTCTGGTTATTTTTTCACAGCCTGTTCTATGTTTCCACTTTGGAGAGCCATGCATTTTTGAGTCTGGAAAAGAGGGTATGAAAAATTAACCACAGTAATAAACAAGCCTTCCCCCTCCCCACACATGAAGTGCTATAGAAAACTGTTTTATTTGTGTATGTGCTCCATTATTTGTCAGACTTAATACTTTGGAGTCTAATGATATATACCAGAAAAAGTAACTCAAAATATAACTGATGCCTAACAAATGTTTTAGATGTAGCTATACATAATGGATTTACTTGCAGCTATGTTAAATTGTATTATGCAAGAGTGATCATTGTCCAAATCCTGTTCTGAAAATTGCTCTTGGCTTTTTCTGGCAAAGACTACATTTTATATATGAAACAATATAATAGGTGTGACGAGAGAGGTAGAGCTCTTCTACAAATATTTTCAATAGGTTAATAGTTTGCTTTGCTTTATAGGCTGGGTTTTGTTTTGTTTTTGCTATTGGGTAGCATTTATGATAGCTATCACTTTTGGAGGAGACAAGGGAGATCTCATTTAAAGTAATTTTGAAAACCAAGCCACCTAATGTGAAAGGCAAGAAGAGGAGTATCATCTAATCCAGAAATTAATGTACTGAAAAGATAAAACAGTAAAGCAAGTTGTGAAATTGCAGTCACTCAGTAATGAACTAAGGTCTGTTTTATAGGTCCTAGATTCTTCAGATCTCCCCTAAAAGTGGCTAAACAACTTTTCATTTAAACTGATCACATGATCAGCCATGAGTCAAGCCAGCATTTCTAATAGCAGCTGTTCCAATTATCTACAAGATTTCCCCCAAACTTCTCTCTTTTAATGTCAGCTGTTTCACCAGAGGCAATTACCCGTCACCCTGCATCCCATCCATGCCTGCAAGCCAAAGCGGAACTCTAAAAAGAGCAAGAGTGTCTGGCAGGCTTGCAGCTATCCTTCCAAGGCAATCCCATAGCAAAGTCAAAATTCACTGTGTGTCCTTTACATCGTGTAGGATAGCATAAGAAGAAAAAGGAACGTTTTCAGTGGAATGAAAAAGGAGCAAGGAAGTTTTGGAGTACCTTATATGGGGAAATCGGAATGAAGAACCCGTGAGCTGCCTAGGGAAAAGCACAGTTGGGTGAACGCAAAAATGGGAGGTTAGGAGGGTTCAGCCAGTGACATAAATGTTCTGTCTTTTCAGGGACTGACTTATTCCATGCTTTTCCACAGCCCAAGCCAAGAAATAACAGCTCCTCCACCTTCTCCCCCCACCAAGTCACCTCCTGAGCAACCGGATTTCAGAACAATGCTCCCACCAAGCTGGCCCGGCCTGGATATGATTCCTTTCCTTGGAGGCGCAGAACCACCAGAAGCTCCCTCTTTCTCTCCTTTCAAATTCAGTCTCGCACCCTACCCGCCTCCACCTCGCGTCTACGGACCTCCCTCTGGCTTCTCTGGCTCGCAGCCGTCTATGCTTTAACCTCTACATCACCTGGATGCCTACATTTTATTTGCTTCTGCTTGCGAAGTTTCGTGGTGTCTTCCTCTCCCATTTAGGGAAGCAGCATCTGTTTATATCTGCATACTTTATAATTAAATCCCACAGAGGTTGCAACAGACTGTACATTTTGACTTTTCTTCCACAGTGAGTATAAGGAAGCTGCAATACACATTCAAGCATTCTGTTTCAATTACTTCCTCAGCAGAAAATTTCTATTCAATATCCCGCCTAGTGCTGGTTCTGCTTCAGCCATTCCTTTTAAAGCATCTCACAAAGACAAGCTGACCTACAGGCAGGTATTCTTACTTATGTCTGCACAGCATGTCATTTTAGCATTGATGCTGGACTGGTACATGTGGCAGTAGCAGCACCACAGGAACTAGAAACTTGCTTATTAAAAAAATGTATTTTTATCAGATAATATGTTAAATACCAAGTCCCACAGCTGCCAGAGACCATTTGGCATGATGAGAGGACACAAAGATTCTCTTATTTTTATCTGCAACTACAGTGAACGTATTAAAATCCTCTTCCTTTCTCTGCCAGAATCAAATGAATTAGGAAATTAACTATCATAAGAAAAATATATATTCGCAGATTAGATATTTCTGTAGCACTTATTCAATTGATAAATGATATGGCAATAGAAATACACAATGTACAAGATGCTCAATTTTTCTTAATTTTATTATAATTTTTTATCTAAAAGTTGTAAATAGGAAAAACAAAATGGAAACAAAATAAAATTAGAGCAAGAGACAGATCATGGGAGATGGCAGGAAATTCCCCCTTCTAACTCTAAATAGATACCTGGACTGCACATTCCTTCACAGGAATAAAGGTAAAGAAGGGAAGGGGAAAATGTGAGCCTAGGGATTATAGGTTTGGCTACCTCATCCCCACAGGGGCAGAAGATCAGAGAGAGAAAAGAGAAAACATGTCCCATTGGTCAAATTCATTAGCATGATGTGGTCCCAATCTCCATACTCAGGGAGAAGGAGAAAAAGTAGGAGAACCAGATCTGCCAATAAAAGATTTAATAAATCCATCACCAAAGCTGAATGGATTCCATAGAGCATTTGGATCCTCCAGTGACCCCAAAAAATCTTTTTGCAAGTTCAGGATTTTTTGGTATAGTATGCTGGGGACAGTCTTATCTTCCACTGGCCATATAGTGTTTAAGGAGCAAAGTGGGAATCAGGAGTGATGGCACGCAAACTTCCTATTTTAGCTCAATCTATTCTATGGAATTGAAGCAAATTACAGATTGAAGTGCCAAAAACCCTCAGCACTGTAGGTCTTCCAGCAACCCAAAACAGCAAAGTTTGAAGCACTTCCTGTTCTTTGCTTAAATCTTAGAGTGGCACCAAAACCATGGAGTTCCAACGTCAGCTGACAAGGGGAAAAAGAAAAAACCAGGAAGCACCTAAGTGACATGGCAGGATGGTAGGGGGAGGAATTAGTCCAGATAAGCAGCTCCCCTAACAAGATCAGATATTCTTTGATCAATTTGGCTTCTCCTTATTTCTGAATCCAGTTCTTTATAACATATATATTCTCTAGCAATAACTTCCAGTTCTTCTAGAATAACCTTCTTCAAATTGGTGTCCTCCAGATTAATTATGCTACAATTTCCATCATCTAATTCAGAACAGCCATGTTGGCTAGGATGATGGGAGTCTTAGGCCAACACATTTGGAGGGTACCAGCTTGGACAATGCTGCTTCAGTGAGTAGAAAAGCCCTACCAAGAGTTGCTCAAGAAATTGGTCAGTGACTTCTCTACAAAACTAGAGATATTTAAAGAGCTACAGCTTTTCTTCTTTCCTGGGCTGATACTTCTTTTCATGGAAAGAGCTGACAAAGTTCCAGGTTTTTCCAACAGGCAGAAATCCTAAGAAGTGTTTTTAGGGGGGAAGTATCAATTATGGCAATCCTAGGGATTGCCCAGGAATCAGCAATGTTGGGAAAAGATGGCTAATTCAGTCTAAGGGGTCCAGAACTGAGAATTTATTGGGCAAGGGCCAGGGTAAGGGAGAGAAGGAAAGAAGAGAATTGAACCCCTGCCAAAGGCTGAAAGAGAAGCTGACCACTCCATCCAGAATAGGAAACAGAAGCCGCACAAGGGGGAAGAGGGAGGAGAAGCATTCACAGGAAGTAGTCCGCAACAGGCTTCTTAGATGGGATGCCTCGGGTTTCTTGAGGGGCTGCTTCAAAGATGATAAATTCCTTCTGAAGATGTTCATCCAGTTCCAAGATAGCTGCAACATTCCCACAGCTGTGGTTGGAAGAGAGGAAAGGAATCATATTTGGGTGCTTCAGGTTTCATCAATGCCACATGTCCCCAGGAAATACACTCAGCTGATGTCTATCACCCTCTCCCCACCCCACAGTTCTTCCTATTCCCAGCCACACCAAAACTATAATGTCCATAATTCCCTTGGACTTTCTCACCGGTAGCAATAGTTGGGGGCTGACCACACAGTAAGAACTGTCTCATTGAAATGCCATTTGTATCCCTCCATGACCAGCTGATGTGCCCGGCAAATCATGTCGATATCGTTTGCTGCATTGAACTGCGCCACCACATCACTGCCAAATAAATAGCCAGCACCTCGAGGACTCACACCCCAGCCTGTAGTGTCTAGAACAGCAAAGGAACAGGATATTGACACAAAGAAAACCAAATGGCAGGCACAAGCTAGGAAAAGGAAGCATCTGGGCTTGCAAACTAATAGAAGAAAGCCGATCAGTTGGCATGGAGACATTACAGAACACCTCACTACCATCAGCCATATTCCACCATACGAGGCGGTTCCTTCTCCCTCTTAAAAATCTTTTAAAACAGTAACTCTGGGAGTGGGAGGGAAATGGAGGTAGAGATACAAAAACATCTGACTACCTTTATTGGAAGACTTAAGAGTTTTACTGTTTGATTTGTTGATGAATGAAAATCCATGCAAGATTTATTAAATGTCTGCCACAATATGCTTAGAATTTAATATAATCTACTGTGTTCTCTCTTCAACACCTTGTAAAGAAGAGGTATTACAGTCTCAGGAGGTTATGCATGTAACAGTAATTAGCTCTTTCAGTTCTAGTATAATTCTGAGTAAAAATTATAGGCACAACACTCTTCTACATTACTTTTGGCATGTTGTATTCCTAATCAGATTGCACCAAACCCGTACTCAACTTCAGCCATTACAGTATCTACTATCCAGATATTATTCACAGAGAGAGGGACTATTCCTCTCTTAGCTGTACCTTCAGGGTCAGACCACAGAAGATCACACATGGGGCCATCATGAGGGACCTCCTGTTTGCGATCTATCGTTCGGATCTGGTCCAGCGTCTGGATGGATGGGGATAAGCCACCATGGACACAGAAAATCTGAACAAAAAAGACACACTTATATACATCATGGACTTCCCTGCATCTTTAAATTGTTGCTCTTCCCCTCTGATCATCTTACTCCAGAGACAGGCAATCCACAACCTCTATGTGCCCCCCGCCCCTTTACAGTCTGTGATATTCAGTTATGCATTCAATTAAAAAAACCCCAGTGCTGGATTTGAATTAAGATATTCATTCTGAATCAGCCCCATGCCACTCAGTGACTGTGAAATGTAATGGTTGCTGTTACATTATTGCATTTAATAAAGATTTAGTTTCTAACTATGTTGTTTAAGGCTCTGGAAACTTCAGCCAAGTTCACACCTTCCTTGGGGAGCCTGACCATATGTTAAGACCTAAAACAATAACTTCCCCAAAGAGGAAAAAGATGATTATCCCACAACTACTTCTCTTGGCAGCTGAACTAATACAAAGAAGCAACCCTGGGCCATAAAAAGTTGACACTTCTGCATTACACTAAATCCTTTAGTATTGCCCTGCACATTTTATGCCATCCACTGAAATCAATTCCCATTCCAGAAAATATGCAGTTTTTTCCCTATTTTTCAGACATAAGTCCTTCAATCAGAGTCCCCTTCAGCTTCATAATTCATCATGATTCAAGAATTATACTTGCATACTCACCTTGCCATCAATAATGGCAGAGAGGCTGAGGTAGTCAAAGATCTCAGTGCAGTAGCGCCACACAGTGACAGAACCATATTTTCTCAAACACTCATCGTAAAACCCATATACCTGGGTGATTTGCCTGCTTTCGTGATTGCCACGGATAAGGGTGATCCTGTCAGGGTAGCGAACCTGTAAAAAGAAATGGATCAGTCTAATTTAGCCTACAGACCCAAAAAGGTATTAGCCAGAACTTGCATCTCTGCCAAGACATGCTGACTTTAAATAAGGAAGAAAAATGTAATGTTTACTTATCAGGGCTTTTCTTACCTTGAGTGCCAGCAGTAGCAAGAATGTTTCAACACTGTAGAAGCCTCGGTCAACAAAGTCTCCCATGAAAAGATAGTTGGTCTCAGGTACATCACCACCCACCTGACACATGAAGACAGAGAACACATTAAAAGGTTACCCGCAAGATTAAGGAAGCTACAGAAAAAAAAAAAAAAAAAAGCTACAGAAGGCAGCAGCATGGAACTAGTGGGTGGCAGCACTCACCCTGAATAGCTCTTTAAGGTCATAGAACTGGCCATGGATATCTCCACAAACCTGGAAAAAATGCATCATGGATTGGAAAAAAATAAAAGAGTTTGCACGACTGCTGGTGTCACCATACCAGCCTAAGATATTATTAAGCATTCCCAAAAACCCTTACTTACTGTTACTGGGGAATCTACTCTCTGGACATTACTTTCTTCCACCAAGATCTCTCTGTTGGAAGAAAAAGGGAGATGTGTCATCTGGAATTGCCTTTCACCATAATTGGCTGCATGCTGCAGTACAGAAGCAGCTACTCCTCAGAAGTCTGCAAACACTTGCCTGGCCTTTGCACAGAGGGCTTTAACCTCACTTTCCTTGATGAGTTCACAGCGCCGCAGTTGTTCAATCTGACGGTCAAGGTCACTGATTTCAGCCATCTCTCCCCCCCTGTAAAAATAGGAAATGTGTGTATACATGTGTGTATAAATACATAGGTACACATGTGTAAAAAGACTTTCTATGAGTACACAGACTCTTCTTCAAAAGGATTCCAGAACAGAGCAAACCACAGTTAAGCAAAGATTGTAATATCAATGAAAGCAAGGGGAAGCTAAAGAAATTCCCCACTTCAAAAACAACCCCTAAGAAACTATAGGAATAGCCCCAATTATGGGTTTCTTTTCACCTACAGCCTGATCATTAGAAGTTAACAAAAGAGAAACACCAACACAGGCAGAATCAAACTGTGTCGAAGCATACCTAGGCAGATATTTTCACACTACAACCAAACCCACTCAAGTATCCCATATAAAAAAGTGATAAAAATGCAAAACAGATTATTTCTTCAAATCTCCCCCATGGACTACTGAAAATTTACACTATTGGGGAAAGAGGTGGAAATACAACATGTAGAGCCAAAATAAGCAATATGTGGGATATGAACTACTGTACCAAAGTAGAAGCAGCTAAATAGAATATTCCACAAGTTCCTGCAAACTGCACCACCTCTTCATTTTGCCCTTTGTGTGATACTGCTTTATCCAATCCCCTTCAGTTCACAGCCTTCCTAAACCTGGTGCTCTCAAGATGTGTTGGAATACAACTTCCATCATTCCACCTGGCACAAACAAAACAGCAGTTCAACATACCTAGACAGCACCAGAAATTGGAGAGGAGAAAGCAAGCCTTGCTGCAAAATTAATAAATTCTCAGTAAAGAAAGGCACATCAGCTTTTAAGTGCGTTATCAAAAGGAGGGGAAGAAAAGAGAAAGTGCACGCTGGCTGCGATATCCCAAGACCTTTTTCCCCACCACCAGTGAGGCGGGCAGATCAATCCCAAGTCATCAGAGGTAGCCTCAACCCAATCTTCCCACCCCAAATGCCAGGGTGTTGCTTCTTCAGGATTTTAACAGAACAAATGGAGGGGGCGTGGGGGGAAAGGAAGCAGCAGGGGTGCGACCCTCCCTCCTTTACCATAACAACCCCCCAACAGCCATTCCCCCCTCCGACTTCCCGCCGCGCTACGCAT